AAGGACATCTATCATTATATGCTAGATATGCTATCATTATAAAGTCTGAGCTGTCGAAAACAGTGAGCCGTCTCCAAAGCTACTTTCATGATTGCACTATGGAGCAAAATTGAAAAAAAAGGACTTTCACTTCGAAAAAGGCAATGTTTCGAATTAGTTCTCAACAGGTTCTCAAATGGATTTTTTCTTGTAGAGCATATAAAAATATACTTCTATGCCAAATTTCAGGTCATTTGGTGCTATTTTTGCGAATCTGGTTTTTTCATGTCACGTTAGAACTGGTAAATCTCCGCAATGGTTAGAGGTATTAAAAAAAAGTTTTCAGTTCCTAAAAGTGTTATATAAAAGCTTTATTTTAATGTATTTCAAAGTTTACAAATTTGATGTTTTGGTACCGGTGTAGTTGAAAGTGTATAAAAATCCTAGGAAAAATATCTTTGTGCAGGCACAACTTTTTTCTGTCAACCGCTATACCAGTCAAAAACCACACCATTAAATAGCCACTGACTTCTTGTTTTCATAACTGTATAAACATTAAAATAATGTTTGCACCGTTGTGAGAAAAGTTGATTTGAGTAAATCGACAAATATTTTGCCAAAAACAAATATTTCTTATAAATAAAACAAAACAATAACTACAAATAAGTTTTTTGGTATTTTTCAATGACAAACAATATTTAAAGACAACCTGTGAAGAAATTTTTTCAAAAAGTTCAAAATTTGTCGTTTTATGAGGTACTTTTGATATCTGACGACTTGTATGTTTTTTCCATCACTTAAACCACTAGTACTCTTAGAAAATTAAATTTTTTTAAATTTCGTTTTCAGTTTGTTGTAGCTTAAATCATAACTGTTTTCAAAACAGATACAAACAGATACAAAAATTGAAAATTCGATGACTACTTTTAGAGCAAATTGTTAGAAATTTTTGTAAATTTACCTGTGCTGGTTGCGCTTTTGTAAGCTTTTTGATGGACATAAAGAGCTCTAACCTTTTTCAGGATACATATTTTTGCCTTCTGTTTTCGATTTTTGCTAGTTTAAATTAATACCTTTAAAATGATGTATAATACTTGTATGAAAGTTCATTATAGCTGCTTCTGGAGTAAATTGAATGTGACCGACGCAAGCTAAACTTCAACAAAATAGCCAAAAACCAAAATTTATCAAACAAAAATATTTTAAACATTTTAAACTGACTTATTTTGCTTAAAATCTGTATAAATATGAAATATCAACCGATAAGCATCCAAGAAATAGTGTAATACTTGGGAATTTTTGACCCAATATAGACTACTAGGATCGTACTTAAACAAGCTACCTGAGATAGCCAAAAGTTTATAAAATACAATTTTTTGAGTGTTTTTAGTCATAATTATCATAAATCGTCATAAAACACCAAAACTCAATACTTAATTTTGTTTCCAAGTGGTATTTCTAGAAATAACGTTTTTGAGATTTTTTCTAGTTTAGGGTCGCTCACAAACAAGCCTATACATTATTAGAAAGGCACTGATTTAAGCTACAACAAACTGAAAACGAAATTTAAAAAAATTTAATTTTCTAAGAGTACTAGTGGTTTAAGTGATGGAAAAAACATACAAGTCGTCAGATATCAAAAGTACCTCATACAACGACAAATTTTGAACTTTTTGAAAAAATTTCTTCACAGGTTGTCTTTAAATATTGTTTGTCATTGAAAAATACCAAAAAACTTATTTGTAGTTATTGTTTTGTTTTATTTATAAGAAATATTCGTTTTTGGCAAAATATTTGTCGATTTACTCAAATCAACTTTTCTCACAACGGTGCAAACATTATTTTAATGTTTATACAGTTATGAAAACAAGAAGTCAGTGGCTATTTAATGGTGTGGTTTATGACTGGTATAGCGGTTGACAGAAAAAAGTTGTGCCTGCACAAAGATATTTTTCCTAGGATTTTTATACACTTTCAACTACACCGGTACCAAAACATCAAATTTGTAAACTTTGAAATACATTAAAATAAAGCTTTTGTATAACACTTTTAGGAACTGAAAACTTTTTTTAATACCTTTAACCATTGCGGAGATTTACCAGTTCTAACGTGACATGAAAAAACCAGATTTTTCACCCTTTTTCAACTTCAAACAGCCACAGATTCGCAAAAATAGCACCAAATGACCTGAAATTTGACATAGAAGTCTATTTTTATATCCTCTACAAGAAAAAATTCACTTGAGAACGTAATTTGAAACATTGCCTTTTTCGAAGTGAAAGTCCCTTTTTTTCAATTTTGCCCCATAGTGGATTGGAAAATTAAACTGAACGAATCCAAGACTGAATTTACAGTCTTTACTAAGTCCACTAAAATGTTCCAGAAATTAGGCAACGATTCGATAAATTTTAATGGGCAGTCGTTTAAATGAAAAGCATCCGTGAAGTATCTTGGAGTTGTTTTCGATCAGAAACTACTTTTCAAGCATCATATTGATTCCTTAATTAGGAAAGCCAATGCTGCATGTTTTTCAAGTCTCTACTGCTTGTTAAGCAGAAATTCATCTGCTTCTGTTGATTCCATGATCAGAATCTACAGATCTATCATTAGACCTATCTTGACCTTCGCATGTTCCGTCTTTGCAAACACTGCTGCCTGCCATCGCAATAAATTGCAGCTTTTTCAAAATAAATTACTCCGTTTGATTCTTAATATTAGATGGTCTGACTTCAAATCAACAAACGAGATTCATAACACAGCAAAAATCCCACTTTTGTGAAATTTCATATCTCGCATAACTGCCAATTTCTACTCAAAAGTTGCTCATCGTTCAAACGACCTCTTTTCTTCACTTGGCCAATACAATTACGATTCACTGAGTTTTAGAGTAAAACATAAACTACCGAAACCTTGCCATTAAATTATATTTTCTCTGTATTTCTTAATTATTTAGTTTATTAACTTTTGGTCTTTTTTATAATTTTTTCTGACCACATTTCAAGTTGTCACTATCTGAATTTCATATCTTCTGATACGAACAATTCAAGAATTTCGACCGTTACAGTTTCCAAGAACACTTGTAAAAATGTCTTTTTTGTCTGTCTGCCATTCGAAGTTTCATACCCTGCAGTTCGAAATTTTCGAACATTAGGAAATATTAAATTATATTAAATTTAAATTTTTCGAACGTGCATATTAAAACACTCCTAGACTTTCGATAAGTCTGTCGAACATGAATTGAACGTATCAGCATATCTTGTAATCAATTGATTCTCAAACTTCTATATTTGATTTAAAACCGAAATAGGTTAATATCATGTCACTTTTAATTTTTGTTCCGCCTTATATCAATGAATTAACTAAAAGGAGTTTATTATTATCGCACAGCATAAGTTTGTAAACTTAACTCTTGCCATAGAAAGTCTTCATCGATCAGCATAAGTTTGTAAACTAGACTCTTACCATAGAAAGTCTTCATCGATCAGCTGTGCTATCGCACAGCATTAGTTTGTAAACTAGACTCATACCATAGAAAGTCTTCATCGATCAGCTGTGCTGTCGCACAGCATAAGTTTGTAAACTAGAATTATATAATTATATTATTTATTTTTTTCGAAATTCAACTCATCCGTGGAATTGCCCTATTGTTCTTTTCTTGCTGACCCCCCTCCCCCCCCCCTGGACGTCATAAGTGAACGGCCCCCCAATTAACAACATTATTTGATTAGAATGTTGTTTATGGGAATATAATAGTAAATGTAGATGTCATAAAACGTTAGTTTAGTAAAATATGAAAAGGTTAAGTAAGGTTTTATGCCATCTGAAATAGTTTAAATACTTTTCAAATGGCTTTTCCTTGCGAGTAATAAATAAATAATAATAATAATAATAATAATAATAATAATGTATTCAAAAGTTTAAAATTTCAAGTTCGAGAAGAATTATAACTCATTTGTAATGAATTGCCAATCTGAATCATTGTGCAAAGAGGATGATAAAAATTTGAATTTAAAAAACCCGTTGAATATTAGTGCAACGTATTTTTCGACTGAGCCATTAAGGTATCAAAAACGACTAGCCTTAAGGGAATGTGCATTGTGTTTAAAAATTATTATTATTATTAGCATCACAATACATATTAAAGGAACATTCTCTAAAGGAACTCATTGCAAAGGTTTTTTATGCCGTTTTAAATGCCAGAGATGTGTTGTGCATTTAAATCGGCTTTATCCTTTGACAAAAGTACAATAATAAATAATAATAATAATAATAATAATAATAATAATAACATTCTTTAAGCCTAGATTTAAATAAACTTATTGAAAATAAGTTCTTAATTGTCCGCTCGAGAGAATTGTAGAAAGTTTGACTTCCCAATTGGGTACGAGTAACTGGAATGACATAAATTTCTCTGTCTTGACACTATTTTTAAGCATGTTCGACGTAATTTTAAAGACATGAATGCATATACTACTCTGACATAGCGTAGTGACTGGAATAATTTTTATTTGAAACAATTCTGATCTGCTTTGATTGAACATGTGCATATATAAATTTAATACTCCAAATAATAACTTATAAACTTAAAATTAAGTATTTTAAATTTTTAAAGTTCATATTTTTGTATAAGAAAGGATCATTGGGAGACAAAAATCAATAATAGTGTTAGGAATCGCAAAAGGATTACCTAGATTAAAATTGATATGTCTACGGCTTAATCTTACCTGATTTATTAAAAACTTTTCTAATTTTAACTAGCCAAATACGATAAGTAATAAAAGAATTTGATTTCAAAGGAATATTCATGCGCACAAAACTTGATTGTTGAACGACCTCAAATGAATTCAACATTTATCAACAGTACATTTAAGATTCATTACAATTTTTAACTTATTTTAATCTTTACTAAAACAAATGTGTTTTAATATGTACTGCAATTAATATATCTTATGATCAATTAACTGAAAACTATGATTCTAAGTTCAATTTTCAAAGAAACATTAAAAAAATTTGAACTTTAGCAGCAAAACGACAACCTCTGTAAATTAAGTTTGAACCTCGTTCTTTTTTCTCGAGAATATTAAAATAAAGCATGTCTAAGAGAGGTAAAATTAAAAATAAATTAGTTAAACATGATTTAAAAGCAACAAATTTTGTGAATTATACTAAAAAAGAACGTCTCTAACATGGATATTGTCAAATTATTCTAATTAAATGCATTTTTGAAGAAAAATTTAATAAATTGAAAAAATGTGCATTTTTTTGGTTCAAACGAATACAATAGAATGATTTAAAAGTAGTGTTAATAATATTATTAATTAAATCTTCATAGGACGTGGTGGATCAGCCGGAGGAAAATTCCGCATCTCATTGGGTATGCCTGTAGGAGCAGTTATAAACTGCGCCGATAATACAGGTAATAATAGAAAAAAAATTGAAAAACATCCAGCTTGTTTAATTTCTATTATTATTTTTTTCATCAAATAGGAGCCAAAAACTTGTATGTCATTGCTGTTCACGGAATTCGTGGACGTTTGAATCGTTTGCCTTCAGCTGGTGTTGGAGATATGTTTGTCGCCACTGTCAAAAAGGGTAAACCAGAATTAAGAAAAAAGGTATGCAAAAATTAAACATTAACTTGTGGTGTGTGTACATAACATGAATAATTTTAATTTCAGGTAATGCCTGCAGTGGTTATTAGGCAGCGAAAACCGTTCCGTAGACGTGATGGAACCTTTATATATTTCGAGGATAATGCAGGTGTGATTGTAAATAATAAAGGTGAAATGAAGGGATCTGCAATCACAGGACCTGTTGCAAAAGAATGTGCTGATTTGTGGCCACGTATCGCTTCGAATGCTGGCTCAATAGCTTAAGATTTGGAATTGATTGCATCAAAACAAAATTTTGTTCATTAAATTCAACAATAAAACATCAAGTTGTGAACAAAAAAAGAATAACAAATCCATTTAATAAAAAAATTACATTCTTTAAATTTTTTACCAGCGTTTATTACTATTTTCGATCAGTTTAACGTCGTAATGGATGATCATTTTTCTCAGTTTATCTAAAATTTCAGATCAATTTTAACCTTAAAATATTTGTGAGCAAAAAAAATTGTTGATTTTTCTCAATTTTAATTTCCTTTTTAAAACATTAAAAAATTGTAAATTAGTTTAATACAATAAGTTTAAATTAGGGCTTAAAAAGTATATATTTATAATGAGTGACGATAAATACTATCAGAAATTTCAGTTTCAAACTAATTTGTGCTTTGCCATTGGTTAATTCCACGGATGTGATTTGGGTTCACTTTTTTTTTTCAAATCTGAATCATTGTCGTTTGGAATTCATCATTTATGAGTTGTAATTCGTCTCCAACTAAAGGGAAAATCAATATCTTTTAAATGCCAGATTAAAGAATCTAGCTTTCTTCATGTGCTTTAAAAATATCTCATTCCTCCTTGCTCTATTTGGACATTTGCTTACTGTTTCCTGGTAAGATAAACTTAGCTTTGAATAATAAAACTACTAAATCAACAGAGAACTTCTTGTTAAGTCTTAAAAATGCATTTGAAATCTGAATAAACGCTTACACGCTTAGACCTCTTTAATAATCGTATTCAAATCGTTAAAAGTGATAGTAATTTTAGTGACGCATGTGTTGTTGAAGGAGTTGCGCAAGGCACTATGGAGCAAAATTGAAAAAAAGGGACTTTCAATTCGAAAAAAGCAATGTTTCGAATTACGTTCTCAAATAGATTTTTTCTTGTAGAGGACATAAAAATATACTTCTATGCCAAATTTCAGGTCATTTGGTGCTATTTTTGCGAATCTGTGGCTGTTTGAAGTTGAAAAAGGGTAAAAAATCTGGTTTTTTCGTGTCACGTTAGAACTGGTAAATCTCCGCAATGGTTAGAGATATTAAAAAAAAGTTTTCAGTTCCTAAAAGTGTTATATAAAAGCTTTATTTTAATGTATTTCAAAGTTTACAAATTTGATGTTTTGGTACCGGTGTAGTTGAAAGTGTATAAAAATCCTAGGAAAAATATCTTTGTGCAGGCACAACTTTTTTCTGTCAACCGCTATACCAGTCAAAAACCACACCATTAAATAGCCACAGAGTAAATCGACAAATATTTTGCCAAAAACGAAAATTTCTTATAAATAAAACAAAACAATAACTACAAATAAGTTTTTTGGTATTTTTCAATGACAAACAATATTTAAAGACAACCTGTGAAGAAATTTTTTCAAAAAGTTCAAAATTTGTCGTTATATGAGGTACTTTTGATATCTGACGACTTGTATGTTTTTTCCATCACTTAAACCACTAGTACTCTTAGAAAATTAAATATTTTTAAATTTCGTTTTAAGTTTGTTGTAGCTTAAAGGCAATTCTCCAGGTAAGTTTTTCAAAAAATCATCCGGAGAATCAAATTTACTCGAAAATTTTCCATTACCAAGCATAACTTTTACATTTAGATCGATGTAAAATGGCAAAAACTCTTATATTTTATCTATTTAAGTCTTTGAAAGTAGCCAATAATTAAGTTTTTTCAATTTTTTTTGCAAATTACTGTCAGCAAAAAATGGAATAATCATAAGGAGAATCGAAAATTGAAGGAAAGTAAACACTCATTTTTTATTATGATTATGCAGAAATGTAGTTTTTGAGCTAATCTATCTAACCATAATCATATCACACTCCAATAATTACAATTTAAAGAGAATTTTTGATTTTTATGTGGATTTTTTTGCTGACAGTAAAAAAATTAAGCTTTTATTTTGCAAATCCATGAAAAAAATGCAAAGCAAATATTTCATAAAAATTAAATTTTAGTCTTAATTTAACACTTTGTGGTTGAATTATTGTTGATTCAGTAAGAATCAATCGTAATAAACAGTTTAAAGTTGCTTTAAGCAATCAAAACAAAGAAATTGACAAGATATTTACAAAACAAAAATTGAAAGTAAACAGTAAATGACTTTGGATTATAAAAGCTCTTTTTTCAAAAACTCAACTCATCTGGAGAATTGCCCTTTAATCAGTGCCTTTCTAATAATGTATAATACTTGATAGTTGACTTTGATCTTGGTCATGAATATGAGGCTTGTTTGTGAGCGACCCTAAACTAGAAAAAATCTCAAAAACGTTTTTTCTAGAAATACCACTTGGAAACAAAATTAAGTATTGAGTTTTTTTTTTATGACGATTTATGATAATTATGACTAAAAACACTCAAAAAATTGTATTTTATAAACTTTTGGCTATCTCAGGTAGCTTGTTTAAGTACGATCCTAGTAGTCTTTATTGGGTCAAAAATTCCCAAGTATTACACTGTTTCTTGGATGCTTATCGGTTAATATTTCATATTTATACATGGTTTTAGCGAAATAAGTCAGTTTAAAATATTTTTGTTTGATAAATTTTGGTTTTTGGCTATTTTGTTGAAGTTTAGCTTGCGTCGGTCACATTCAATGTACTCCAGAAGCAGCACTAATGAACTTTCATACAAGTATTATACATCATTTTAAAGGTATTAATTCAAACTAGCAATAATCGAAAACAGAATGCAAAAATATGTATCCTGAAAAAGGTTAGAGCTCTTTATGTCCATCAAAAAGCCTACAAAAGTGCAACCAGCATAGGTAAATTTACAATAACTTGCAATAACTATAGTATAATTAATAATTTGTAGCAATGAATTTCCACATATAAAAAGTTTATCATTTAACGATTAATTGAGATTCAAATTTTCTAACGGTCAGTAAGTTTTTGAAAGCTTCCCGCCAAAAGATATACGAAAAATCATTAATTTGCATTAATTATAGTACATTTAACAATTTAATATCTTTAATTTTCATATATAAATTGTTTATCATTTAACGGTTTTCTGAAGATCAAATTTTAACGGTCGTATGCATTTGAAAGTATCTTGACAAAAATTACAGTAAAAGCATTAATTATAGTATAAATAACAGTCTGTTGCAAAAAAAAATTTCATATAAAAAGGCTTGGTAATTTAACGGTTTCTTGAGATTCAAAATTTTTCAACGGTAGAAATAAATTCGAATTTCTAAACGCTCTCATCACGTGTTTTTTCATTTGAAATATAAAAATCATTAATTATAGTACAAAAACACTGTTTCAAGACTTTTAAATGCGTTTCCCGAAAATAAAACAATGGACCTGAGCTAATAAAACAAACTAGAAATCTATACGATGTCTAGTTAAAAAGTTTTTCTCCGCCCGAACGAACAGACATAGTGAGATATTAAGCTACCTTTCAGAAACAAGTTTCAAAAATGCGCTAAAAACAGCTTTAACGATGTATTTTACGTGTATCCAAAAAGCTTAATGGACTCACTTGAACTAGTCCAACGTATAAACTTCGCAACTATTGGTTTTTTTTTGCAAATATAGGAGGTGTAGTGGAACCGAATTATTTTCTGAAAAAATATTACCAGTATTACCATAAAACAAATTTATTGTCATCTTAGAATCGAATTTTTGGAAGTTAGACAACATATTAGAATGAGATATTTTTACAGAACATAAAACAAATCATGTTCTTTAGTCTAGCATTTAAAACATAAAGTTTAATTAACTTGTTATTTTTGAATTTTTGAACATTTTTTTTCAAATCTGAATCATTGTGCTTTCGCTGATTAGCCTAATATAGATAAGGCATTTATTTGTTTTAGAAATCTCCCATTCATTGTGCTTAAAAATTTTGGAAACAGACGGACACATTATATTTAGAATAAAAGATGAGCTATAAAAATTGCTAACTGCTTTAAACTCAATTTTTTCTAATAGATGGGGTTTTAGGCAGAGCACAAAATTTATCATCGTGAATTTATCAAACTTAATTTTCATAAATAAAATAAGAGATTTGGCATTTATTAGTACAATAATCTTATAGAAATGTCTGGACGAGATGGAGGAAAGAAAAAACCCCTTAAAGCTGCTAAAAAAGACTCGAAAGTAAGTTATAACTTTGCACATTTTGCATTTTAAATCTCACTTACAATTTTCTTCAGGAAATGGATGAGGAAGATCTTAAATTCAAGCAACAGCAAAAAGAACAACAAAAGAAACTAGAAGAAGCTAAAGCCAAGGCATCTCAAAAAGGTAAATCTTGAAATGACGTCACAATCATATTCGAGACCTTTATATGTGCAATTCTTATGTATTTTCCGTATTTTCAATTATTTTCATATGACAAGGACCCATGGGAGGAACTGGAATAAAAAAATCGGGCAAGAAGTGAATCACATAAGTTAGTGAAACACCAAAACATCATTTCATACTTTAATTCAGTTTAAGATTAATAACAAAATCTAACTTTTGTAATAAAATTTTTCAACAAAAAAATCTATAATTTAGTCTAATTCATTTAGTAATGTTTCCATAGGTTTCGTTTTGGGATCTTTATTTTACGACAAGCTGAGAATCCCGATTTATTAATTCATTCAATACTTGCTAAACAATTGAATCTGAAAAAAAATATTCAAATTTTATCCATTATTTGGACGATTTTTCAGGATGGTGGAATTTTGAAAAATAAGCTTTTTTAATCCAAGGTTTTTTGTGTTTCGATGATAAAAATCTTTTGGTTAATATCTTTTTAATACATTTAAGTTTAAATATCAAAACAGTCCCAAATCATCAAAAATAACTACTCTATTAAGGGCAATTCTTTGGATGAGTGGAATTTGAAAAAAAATGAGCTTTCATAATCCAATGTCAATGAGTTTTGTGTCAATAAAATGTTTTCTTTAATTTCATACAACTGTGAAGGAATAATAAGCCAAAACTTTCGTAGATCATAAATCATAATTAATTCTTTACAATTGATCTATTGAAATGTTACAACTCACCCAAATTAAGTGAAAAATTGAAAAAATATGTTTGAAAATTTTGTATTTTTTCACGGATTAAGACAAAAAAAAGCTTTTTTATAACTAGATGACACAAGGAAATTTTTCAAAGAATTAAAATAT